GGAAAAAATGGGGGGGGGGGGGGGGGGGGAGAAATCGTTGGGATGCTGCAACGAATAAGAGGAGTCATGGCTCAGCAGCGTGATCAGTTACGCTGGTGGTATTCTTTTCGCAGATAACAACCCCATAGAATTCTCTGACATTGGTATGGATGAAGCGTTATCGTCGTCCCTAGCGATTCGGGTTTCGTCAGAGATAAGTCAAATGAATTTTAGACTCGGTTGATGTTTAAGGAACCGCGTCGAAAAGTTTATACGGTCTTCTGCACGCCCTGACCGATTCAACCTTTGGAAGATTCCTCCTTTCTCTGTCTGATCTGCTGGCCCCTTTGGGCACAAAGGACGAAGAGGAGAGCGAAGCGGCAGAAAGTAAAAAGCGCCAGCGGACACTAAGAGATGGGAGGGAAAAAAATAAAGAAAAATATCCTTGACAATCGAATTGCTGTCGTATTTTACGTTGGAGGGACCGTCGAGGCGTAGCGACGCTTTATTCAACGGCGCGGGTCGTTTCTTATTCGATATTCCGTCGACGTCGGGAGAAGAGCACCCTGATTTTTCACGCAACCCTCGTCTAGAAATCCAGAATTACTTATCAACGGAGCTACTGGGTTAACGCCGAGCGTGGCGCCATTGAAAGTTCGTATTTATCATCAGAGTCGGCGATCGAGAACGCAGGAGAAGCGAGAGGGGGTGGTGAGGGGGAGGTGAGAGGGTGACGTCGCCAGGAGGGATGAATCCGGAGGGATCCTGTTTATTTTATCAATTTTACGCACGTACCCCGGTATCCCTTATTATCCAAATCATACGATGAAGCGCGGAATGACGATGAGGGGGATGTTTTTTCTCTCTCGCTCTCCTCTCTTTCCTAGAGAGCGAAAGTAACGAGCTTTGAATTACCTTTTACGAGGATCCTGCATTGCTCGCGAGATTGCAGGAGATTTGCTCTGGCCGAGTCCTAGTGCCTAGTTGGCCAGATTGAAAAGCCAGAAAGTCCATTTTAAAGGCCACCTCAAAATACGTTGCCTGTCAACCCTGGATCTACCCCTATTTACGATATACGGTATATAGACAGACTGAGAATAAGAACTTAAGAACCGGGAGGGTCGTTAAACCCCGGCGAAAGTATAGCTATTCCTAAAAACCCTTACGGAGCAGCTATAGGACCTATTTATTTACTCATGAAAAGTCTTCATTTTGTTTTATCTTCTTCCTCCTAAGAGATATATCTGATCTCGAGAGGATCGATAACACATTCTAAATTCTTTATCATCTCTCGTTGGTACTTAACAGCCCGCAGCTGTTATTATAGTAAGCACCGTCCTTCACTTTTCAAAGAACCACCCCTCATCAGCTATTCTAGCGGAAGTCTGGTTTTAGGGAGCCGCTTCCGGCGTATCGGTGACTTATGATTGGCGCACCTCACGCAAATATAAATGTTAATGCGCCTTTGTTATCCGGAATTTCGAACGCATACATTAGAGGAGCGAGACGTTCTCGCCTTTTTCGCAGAATTTGCAGAAGGCAAAGAAACCTAAAGGGAATCGGTAATGTTATGTACGCTGCCGTTTACGCTTAAATGCTCAACATTGCCAACCACAGGAGAAAGAAAGAATAAAAGCCGGCAAAAGGGAGACCGTTCGCTTTTGCCTCGAAGGATTATGCAGCTTAACCTAACCTCTAGACTGTCTACATCCTAATTCAATTCTATTTCATTTTCTTACTACTCACCTTCTTCCAACATTCAAAGTCCATGCATCCACGTTCCTATGCCATCCATTATCTCTTGACACTGAAAGTCGTCATTCCATACTTTTAACTTATTCTGAAAATTAACACCACCACCAAATACCAGTACAACCGAACACCGCGGGATTATCGAATGGCGTCATTCCGGAATCCGAAGTCTCATTTCTGCTCACACGACTTAGAAATGAAAAGATGCAAACATTTACCCAATCAAAGAGCAAAAGTTACGATTGAAACAGAGCGAATTCCCGTGGAAATGAACTATGGTATGTCTTGGCTCCTGAATCCCGACCGCAATAGAACAATCCGGCGTCCATCTTTATCCCTTCTACCATTCGACTAACAGACAGCGTCTGGGACGCGCGATAGCTATTTGAATAGGATTCACTGCGCGAGTCAAATGGACGCTACATTCGTCACCGTTCTTTATCTCTTTCACACTCTTTATACTGTAAAGTTCATAGATTCTGTGCAAATTACGCACAAGTAATCTCCTTGAACATCTAACGGGTGTATTGAACGTGCATGAATATAAAAGTATGAGAAAAATTCGTGATATTGGTCGGATTATTAAATCCCTCGGGAAGGTATTTTGCTCCGAGAATATCCGAAATTGGGCTTGTTTAGAAGATTGAATAGAAGGGGATTTTTGCATGATTGAAGCTATTGTACCCATTTTATTACTCCTGATCGATGATATTCGTAAAGAGGTGAGAGAGAGAGAGGAGTTTTTTCTCTGTGAGAAAAGTCAAACCGATATGCGTAGATGATGACGTATTTATTCGCTCGAACGGAAAGGCCAGACTCGAGATTGAATTTTATTAGTGAAAAGTCACAGCACGGGGTCGAAATTATTTGAAAGAGTCCGTGAAGCCGTTCAAAGTCAATCAGGGTGGATGTTCCTGTCGGTTATCTTCGGGAATCCTTGAAAACTTATGAAACCTCCTGGAATTAACAAGGAACAATGAGACTACGATTCTCTCGATTATGTCGGCACTTTCTGAGTTTCTGCTACCTGACACCTCTTGCCCGCGAACTAATTATTCCCAGCTTAAAATCCTTAATTTGTTGCTGAAAGGGGGGTAAGAGATCCGCGAAAGCACAGAAGGGTTAGTAAGCATTAAATCCATCCATCCATCTAGCTCCTAGAGAGAAGGACCCAGAGATCTTTCTTTGTACCTTCTTCACGCTTCCTGGTTCCGCACTTAGGAACCAGCGCGCTATTTAAGACAATAATTCGGTCAGAGGGATTATCAAAAATGTCAGCGAATTAAGTGACTTAGTTCAGTAAGGGAGAGCACTGACTCGAAAAATCCCGCTGGCATCCCGATTCAATCCGTTCCCGCTGTCATTAAGCCTTGAAATGCTCCGTTGGGGTCCGTCAAAAGTCCCACGGCTAGAGGGAGATATCCGTCGCTGAAAAAAATCCGGGCAAAGAAAAAAATGACAAGGAGATGAAACAAAAGGAAAAGAGGAGGGAAAAGATATAAAATCAAAAATGAATGGAAAAACGACAAAGGGGGAAACAAATACTGTACACACTGTCGCCAAAGGGGACAACGTTCCGTATTTGGTACAGTGGCTGGCAGGAAATACCGTACTCTCCTTTCAGATCGATATTGAATCATCCTGTAGCCCCCCCCCAACCTCTCCCCCTTTTGTCTCATAACGCTCAGCTACACTGCGACAGATGTTTCTGATACATATTCATATTCTACCCGGCTCAGCATTTTACGCTATTCCGTATTACTCGCCAAGATACAATCTTCCCGCCTGTGTCTCCTCGAATGTACGTATCGTACGGTATTACACGTTCTACATAGGTATACCCGTGTTCGTACGTTACGTTAGAAGTGCAGAGAGATACTGAAAGTTTCAGGAGTTTTTCTTATTATTCAGGAGGAACGGTAGCGTCTCCGAAAGAACAATGCGCATCCCTCGCGAGATGATCCACGCGAGAGATTCTCTTATTTTGAAGACGAAGTTGATCATAAAAAGGTAACGAGGCACACTCGTGAAAGAGGTCGTTAAACAGGCCGGAGTTAGAGCTAACGGATCTTTAAAAAAAAAGGAGGCAAAAAACAGAAGAGGAATTGTGAGAGGGGCGTGGGGGGGGGGGGGGGATAGGGG